GATATTCCTATAAAAACATCAGTTCACACCTATATTAAAACAGTGGTTTCCCTCCTCTGACTCATATTTTGCTTATCTTACCAAAACCTTCTGCTGTACAGATCCAGGTGGGTAAGCAGAGAAAAATACAGTGTTTCCTACAGTGTAATTATCTGCTTGATGCTGCTGCCCAAGTGCTACTGAAGGTTGAGGATTACTCGCTCCTGGAGGACTGTCACTCTTGCACTGTCAAAATACATGTTGGCCAGTCCAAAGCCCAGACGGCCAGAAGAGCAGCTAAATACAACGTACTGTGCCAATGCCGTGAGACTGAGAAGGACAGGAGAGCTGAGGACATCAGAGGCACAGCCTGAAAGAGGGGGACTGGGTACAGAGAGTTGAAGAGGCTGTGAGAAGGTAGGAGTTGGTTAGCAGGAGAGTCTCCTCTTTCGGAGATACAGGGTGGGAAATACAGTTAAGAATAGGTTGATGGAAGAGTAAGCTGTCTGGATTGAGGGAACAGGGCAGAGAAGTTGATAGCTATTGGGAATATCAGAATCTGTAAGAGAGCTTGGCCAGGAGAAGTCAATCCTACCTGCTGCTTTACTAGATCAGGTAGAACAAGACTGTATTGAAAGATCTCAAGCATCATAATTTTCCAGGTGATGCAAGCTCGTTGTCATGATTTTATTTATATAGCATTTCTAGTGTTCAGTGAATTTCTTTTTTTCTCTTCCCCCAGCTTGCTCTTCACCAATTATTTTTTTTCAAGCTTTCTCTGCTGAAAGAATAACCAAATGCTAAACTCAAATACTTGCAAGTTAGAAAATGTCAGAATAGAAGGCAGTGGGCTTCTTCAGCTGACATGGACCTCTAACATATCGCCATACCTGCTCCTGTAATTGCTGGGGTTCCCCCATATGACCCTACTTACTTAGTGTGCACAGCATCCATTATTTATTTCACAGCATTGAAACTTTGAAAAATTACTAGTTTCTAATAGGCTTTTCTGTGTTACCATTCCCATAATATTAAAGAAATGAAAATAAATTTCCTAATTCCTGTGGAAGGTAATTAAGGCTAAAGTTCTTTATGCATGGCAAAAGCATGGTGACTAATGATCACAAGTATCTTTTGTGCTCAGTAAGAGGTAGGTAAGGCATGATGTCTTGGAATCCTTAGCTTTTTCTGGCATTTTGTTTTTGGGAATAGGACTCTCACTTTTCAGTTATGGCTGTTCAGCTGGGGTTTATCCCTCCTGGCAGTCATGGTGCCCTTTGGGACATAACCCTAGGACTAGATTTTAGTCATTGTGTGTGCTGGAGGATGACCCAGCATCAATGTCTGCCTGTTCTGCTCTTTATCCTATGCGTGTGCTCTTAATACTTGCCAGAGTCCTGAGCTGGATGAGTATTTGGTCTGATCCAGTACGTCAATTTTTATTGTAAAGGTGGGCAGTTGTCTCTTCAGTCAAGCAGACGGCACATGAGGAGCATGCACACAAGTGGGTTAATTTCCCCCAACTTTAGCAGCTTTAAAGTTAATCACCTATTTTGAGTTAGTTATTCAGGCCCCCATTGAGTCGGCAGCGACAGAGTAATTTATGTCATTCTGAATACTCTGTGAGACGGGAGGAATCTGCTAGCGAGCACACCTCAGTGATCAGTTTAGACTACACACTTGACTTTGAAGAAGCTAAGGTTTAGTCACCAAGAACCAAATTTGCTGCTTTATTTTGATACTGAAGTCAAGCAACATGCCCACATTGTGCAAGAACTCCATAACAGATACAGAAATAGCATCTTCTACATAATCTGGGATGATGATTAATTGCCATAACCCTGACGCTTCTGTTCCCTCTTGGAAGTTCCTAGTGTCTTTTGTAACACACTTCCTGCACTTTCATACTTCTTGCAATAAAAGAGACTGTGGAGGTCTACAGAAAGCCTTCTTTTTGTTATACAGCAACAGAGAAATCTTTAAAGAGGGGAAAATGCTGTGTAACTTTAAGTGAAGACCATTTTATAATGCATGTGCCCGAGGGACCTAAATCAGACAAGGGAACTTGGTTGTAGTATTTGCTACCATTTTAGTGCCTTATTTAGTTAAAAGAATCCTAGGAATATATAGAAAGTATATATGTCTGGAATGTAATAAACATAGCTGAGCTTTGTATGTTCCTGCACATGGCGCTTGATGCAGAATGGGAGGTGGTCTTGCGTTTCTGTTTCTTTCCCTTTGTCCTCCCCGTGCACGCTTTGGGGAGAAAACAGCTGCATTTGGTGTATCTGCTGGAACTTGTGAAGATCCACAGGCCTGATCCAGACCTGCTCTCTGATAGTTTGCCACTGCTGCTAACCTGAGAATTGGACCATAGCTTTTTTCCTCTGCTTTGTATTGAGCAGTACATGAATATAAAGACTACACATACAACATAAATACATGTATTTATCTAAAGAGTGAGGAAATTATTTAGGTTAACAGTGCTATGTTATAGCACCATTTTTTTCTGTATTTAGAGAAATGACCACTGCATTCTTATCTTGAGGATTAGGGAGGACTTCTAAAATGAAACTTCATCAATGGATTATGGAGAGTCTATCTCTAAAAGAGAACCTGAATGAATTTCAAAGGAAGATCTGATCCAAGAAACACAGCACACTTTATCTAAGATAACAAATGATTTCTTGATAGCTTGAGTCTACTGCAGGATTAAAACTTCTTGGCATATATAGCAGCTCAGTTGATCACTTGAACTGCGATTAAAAAGTAGAACAAGTACACTCAGAATATTGTTTTTGTGTCAGAAATGCTCCTTCATGGTTGAAAATGATAAAAAATTGCAATCGATCCTTACAACTGTTGTGTTCATCTTTATTGATCAGGCAAAAGAAAGATAAATCGCAGCCCAAATAAGATTATAGTAAATGTTAGCATCGGAGGGGACTGGAGGATGATAGAGAGCTATTCATCATTTCAGATGGTGACCTGTCCGCGCTCACACCGTAGTCAGTCTGCTGTCTAATCGCATACCTATTGATTTCATCTATGTCCAAGGAACCTGGATGTGACTGTCATTGGGCAGCTGAGATTGCTAAGTGCAAGGGGGTCACTGGTGTGAGGAGGATTTCATTTTCATTTTCTTACTGGCCAACGATGATTTATGAAAAAATAAATGACCTCAAGTCACATGCATGGAAACCTTGATTCCAGTACAAAAGAATTATTAGGTCTGAATCTCAGAAGCAAGAGTGCAGTAGACCACTATGCTCTTTGTGATCTGTGCATGACCTTTGACTCCAGTGGATGTTACGCAATTTGTTATAATTTGTGGTAAAATATTAGACTTGCAATACAATTTCACCCATGTCCGGAGCTGGTATTCTTTTTCAGTGATTTCTGTATTTTTCAAGATTATAATTCACAAGGAGGAACCTCAGAAGATGAGATCCTCAAATGGAAAGGAAAAATATTTTTTCCTTTTATTTTTGTAGATAGCACTGCCTGTTTCAGAGTTTCCATCAAGTGGTTTTGCTGTAGTGGGCTATCTTACCTGCATTCCTCATAACATAATTTGGCACAGATAAATGTTGCTCAGGACATGTTTACTAACCCAATGATCAAGGAGACTATGTCATCTTTGACTTTTACAAAAGAGTGATCTCTCTAGTTACAGAGTTTTTTAATATTTTTTTTTCCCCTAACCATGTTTTAGGCATATTGCTTTTTCATACACCAATGTCTTAAATAAATAAAACTGCTTACTTTACCCAAAATAAAATTGGAATGACGCTTTCCATGGACTGCATTGTGCCATCCATGTATGTTAAATGTTGTAAAGATGCGAAATCAATGTTGTGGCATGAATAACTTAAAACCATGGTATAAATAGGTAGATTGGTGAAATAAGGATTCAAAATGGTTTTTATGTAATCATGCGTTGTGTGATTGTAAGAGTTTTGTTGCCATGTTAACATGACTCCCTGGGATGCCAGGTGACTCAAGAGCTACAAAGCTACAGAAGAGTTCTTGCAAGTGCCAACAAAACCTTTATACATCTCCACGACCTGTTTTCCCCAGCATTCAGAGAAAAATGGTTTTATAGAACTTCTGAACTGCTTTAACTTTTCTTTATTCCTCCAACTGTGAAGCCAGGTGCCTTAGTTATTACATGTTAAGTCCAACTGTGTTAAGGCTATAAAAAAACCTCTTGAAAAATACCAAGTATATATTATCTAGATATGAAGCATCAAAACATTATAGTGATTTGTCTTTAAATATCCTATGTCCCACTGAGAAACTTTGCCATTTTTAAGTGTAGAAAAGTTCTATTGCTTGATGATTCAATCTTGTCTTGCCCGCATTTTGGAAATTAATGACTTGGTGGAACTGAGTGAAAGGCATTCCTGGGTTTAGGGGAGATGAAAATATATTCCGAAGCTGCCTGATTTTAAAAATTAAAATTAGCAACTGATTGAAGCAACCTGGAAGTTTGGAATATTAAAATAACTCACTGCGAGAGGCATTATCAAGGCAAAGAGCAAAAGAGAAAGTTAAGCCATAGTTAATTTATTGTGCAGCTTTGAAGTTTGACTCAAGTATCCCCTGCAAACTAGAAGGGGATATATGTGTAAGTAACACACACAGGGACGTGCAAAGAAGCAAGGATTCAGTATTTTGATTTTTTTTTCCTAATGGAGAAGCCTCAAAGGCTCCAACAGGACCTAGTGCTAAATATGTGATTCTTACCCCATATCTCTTTACGGTTTCCTCCCTGAGAGCCATCTCTTTTGCATAACCTTCCAGAAGCAAGAGGACACACTTATTTAAAAAAAACACAACAACCAGCCAAACAAAAAGTCATCTGTGAAACTTTGTAGAATACCTGATTTGAGGGGGGGAGGGGGGAGCAACTTAAATATCCAAATTAGCATTATTTACTAGATATAAGTATGTATATAAATGATATTATATGCAAACTGGTTTGTTTATTTGTTTTTTGTTTTTTTTTTACTTTCCAGAGTGCCCAGTTCTACAAAGTTACCACGGAGCAATACCAAAAAGCTGCTGATGAAGTGTCAGCTCGGTTCAAGTAAGTCTTTCTACTGTTGTTTTTGAGCCTGGCAGCTAGATATGTTCTTATCCACATTAAAATGCACAATAATTCCCCTTCCCCCTATCATAGGTCCTAACAGTCCATGCTGGTTATTGAAATGAGAGAATTTTGAAGAATTTGGAAGCCAGAGCATAGTAGCCATAAGCTGCATAGAAATTGGATGCGCAGTTAGTAATATACTAATTAATTTATATTTGATAAGATGCATGAAATAGTCTAAAAATATATTCCTTAACATTTTTTCTCTAATGGAGCACCAAAAATGTAGTTCCAGCTTTGCATTACAATAGTATTCATCCTGTGCTTGCGTGATTGGAAAGGATTTAAATTAGCAACTTCACTTTGCCCTTAACAGTGAAGGTCAAATTAAATAATTTTTATTAGTCCTGAGGATGGTTAAATGAAGATACAGTAATTGATGGATCAAAGTGACTCTGACCCTTAGCCTTGGACTCTTCCCTTTCTGCTTGTTCATCCCTTAGGCAGAAGGTTCCATTTATCATTTTAGTAAGGATACAGAGAGAACTTTTTACAGCCTTTTAGTTTCAGGAGTAACCAAGAAATGCTGTATAAAATGAATTATTCTGTGACCATTTTTAGGTTTGTGGAGGGATTGTCTTTCACTTTGGGTTTTGTTTCGGTTTTTGATGAGCAAGAAGAGAAAAGGCATTTCTGAGCTGCTGATAATTATATAAATAAAGTTCTTAATTGTAAGATAGACATAATTTTATCTCTTAATATCATGAATTTTTAAGTATTCTCTAGTGTATATATGAAGTCTTTGTACTGGTCAATGGTGCAGAGTATATTGAGGACTGAATTCATCTGTCCCTTAAACGAGAGGGGCAAAGTGACCATTGACTCAAAGTCTGATGTAAGCATAATTTGGAGCGTTTCCCCTTACGTATGGGAAGAATGGTATGTTGTTATTAATTGTCATTTTTTTCGTCTGTGGTAAGATTCCCATCAAGGGGGTATCTCTCCTTCCTCTGTTACACTTGGGTATTTTCAAGTTTTGAAATCTAATTATTGCCTAATCTGACTTTCATTATTCCAAAACAAGCCTTTGTTGTGATTTGAAGTACTAGTTGATAGCTCTAGGGGGTTGTTGTGGCCAGAGGTGGGAAATGGCTTTGGGTTTGGTTTCTTCACCCCAATATATTAATGATTTCCTAAGTAAATGCTTTTGGGTTCCTTTTTGCACAAATGGAGCCAGTAAATCCAGCAGGGGCCAGTCCATAGCATTAGGCAATGTCTAAGAATTCTCAGAAAACCATTTTGAAGGATGTTTCAGTCTATCTGGATAAAGAAAAGAGTGGTTAATGAAGAGGGATTTGAAGAGGGAATCAGAGATTCCTAACGCTTGATGAGATTGGTCTTTTCTTCATTCTCTTAAAGACTAAGGGCATAAATAGAAATCACCTATTTGACTAGTCTTTGCTGTAATGCCTCTACTGAAACTGCTATGCTTCCTTTGCACTTCAGGCCAAATTTTCCAAAAAATTATTATTTGGAGCTTTTTGATTAGTGGATCCAGTTTTGGTCCATTGCCTTAAAGAGCAAAAGGAAAACATTATGAAAAGAAAAAGGTATCTGAAGTATGCGCATAAATTGCAGTAGATTTGATAAAGTGCATGAAATATCAATATTACTTTATAATTTAAAAGTTTTCCTGATAGAAAATCCTGTTAAATGCCATGTCTTTTTATTGAAGGTTTAAGCTCAGCTGCTGTTATTTTATCACTGCCTTTTATATGTAACTTGATGGATAAATTATGAATGATTTAGTGAAACCTAAAGATGATGCTCTTTTGGTGTCACCAGGTACTTCTCATGTTCAGTTTAATTGCATGTGAGGATTGAGGACAGAGTTTCAAGAGATGGTGTTTAAAGAGCTTGTTTAATTGGCTGTAAAAGAAGAATTAAATAAGGTTGAACTGCTAAATTTTGTTAATGCATAAACCGATGTGCTGCACGTCAGTGTGATTTCAGGTTCTAAGTGCAAGATTAATAGATCTAATTGTGGTATCATTACGAAATAGTCTCACTTTATTTTATACATGTCTAGAATTAGTTACGAAGTTTTATTGAGATAACTTGCATTTCTTCAACTTTTTAAGCTACATCTCTTTCAAGAGCAAAGAGAAGTGGATAATTGCTTAAATATTTCCCGGATTTTCCTTTTCCTTCCTCCATTTAGTCCCTGAAATTACATCAGCTGTGGCTTCATCAGTCTTTGGGGATAACTCACCCCATTAAAAGGGAAGAAAACAAATATCCCACATAGACTTGGATCAGAGAACTGGCAGGTCTTCTGTACTTTGTCTGCAGTCCTTAATTGATGCCTGCTTATTACCTTCTCCAGCGCTGCCTGGATTAGACTGATATTCCAAATGTTCATGATAAATGTTTTATCTCTGTGAGGTCCTGATTCACATTGATCAAATTCTGAATTATCAAATGGTTCATCTCTTTAAGACACTAATTCACATTGATCAAATCCTAAATGACCAGGTTCAGTCAGTTCCTGCAGTACACAAATTGCATTAAAACAACATTACTAGAGCATGCTGCCTTTTCTAATGTAGGAGTTATGTTACCCGCAGTTACATTATAACCAGAATTATTATATTATGAAGATGTCTCTGTTATAATGAGAAGTTTACACAAGAAGAAAAGAATGCAATATTAGAGGAAGAGCTGGGCTTTGGGCAAAGATTTGAACTTTAGCTAATCAAATTGTATGTTTGTACTGTGGGGTTTTTTCCTTAATTTGAAGGGCTGGTAGCGGGAAATTTGGCAGCTGTGGTGGTGACATTTTATTCCCCTGTGGTGTCTAGAGCCAAGTAACATCTTGACTATTCATTTAGGAATACAGTAAGCGGATAGGGCAAATTCTGCCTAAAATAAATGTTTTTACTTTATCTTCTGTGGGGTTTGATTCCTTGTGGTAGATAGCAGACTTCATAGCTGCACACTAGTGCTTTTTCCAAAACATTTTGCTATTCCTCTCTGGCTCCACTGCTCTCTTGTAGACAACACGTAGTCGTTTCTTGCTGCTGGTTGCTTGGCAAAAACATACTCCCTAGCTGGCCAGACTGACAGAAGATCCAGGTCCTCTTTGGGGATGGGCTGTTCCTTTCAGCGGTGTTTGTGCAAAGCAAAGTAAGGGTGAGGTTTTCCCCGGTATCTCCGTGTGTCACTTCGATGTCACTTCCAACCTCCTGTGTCTGCAAGGAAGCCAAATGCTGGATCTTGCACATCACGGGGCAGGGTTTATATGCGTTGGTATGTTGATAGACTCCTGGATGAAATTATCCAGCGCTAACAGTTTTAATCATGGAGGATTCTTTGCATCATCCGGAAGCTTGGGTGTTTATTCTGAATTACAGATTTTGATGGCTTTATTCCCTTACTATGAGACTTTTGATCATGAACCTTGCCATCAGGAGGAATGCCGCCCAGGAACTGGAGGAGCGAGTTTGATTAAACACAGAAAGGTTTGGGATTTGCTCAGGCTGCTTCACACGGTACCATCTTCACACATTTGAGATGTTTTAAAAACAGTTTTACAAACTAAATCAATATGTTTCACGTGATCCTCGATCATTTCCATTGCTCTGATCACTGATGGAAGTGAGGGCTCGGTGATAGCCAGGCAACAGGCTATTACAACCCTGAAAATATGTTCAGCGGGGGGGTTGATTCAGGGTGGAGTGAACAGGAATAAATGACAAAACATCAATATCATGTCTTCCTTTAATTGGTGACTTCTGTATCACGAAGCTTGGTTTATTAATGTTTACTGAAAATAAAACTTAAAGCACAGTTATGTTTGATGCTTATCTATAAATACATAGAAACATTAAAAGTATTTCCTTCAAGTTGTGTTTTAGGCAATATTCTTTTGAACTGGGAAGTGAAGCTGAGAAAGTTTGTAATGAAGCCGTGTTAAATGAATAACAGTGACACTTTGATCTTCAAATACGATTGTTTCACAAAGCAGTGATGCCAATATTCTGGACATTGAAAAAAAACCAAAGCAGTATAGAGAGAAAATAAGCTTTTTAATGACAACATTGGACTGAGACCAGGGAAGCGTGGGTTTATTTCACTGTTCTCGTTACCCTTCTGATGTTAGGCACATATGGTGACTTTTAAGGGACTCTTCTGCACTATCTGTAAATTAGGAATATTGATAGTTCCTTAATGCAAATATCTTTAGTAACTATCATGTTGTACTCACATACTACTGTAGCATAGAAATCCGTGTTGGAGATATCCAGGCAAATAGTTTCTGCTTGTGCAGATCCACTGGTCAGAAACTTCCAGTTTTCTAGCAGTTCCTTTTGCTACCTTAATTAGCACTAGTCGCTTTTAAAAACTAAAGTTAAAAGGACAGATTATAAATTATTTGTGAAATACTACATAGTATTTTTACAGTAGCAGGAAATAGTAAGCTATTTAGAAATCCCTGGACCGAGCCTGCAGGCTTGCCTTCTTCTAGTTGAGCTCCCTTTGCTCAGCCAAAGATGATGGGCTCTGAATAGAAACATCCTGAATTAATCTTTTTCTCGTACAAATATAGCACGTGTATGTAGTGCTTTGTCATGAAACAATCGTTTCACTATTGTTTGCCCTGATGATGCTGTTGCTGGTAGTATTCTTGAATTCTTTTTTCATGCATTATGGCTGGGGATGACGGTCCCAAGTTACCCACAACATCCCACAGATGAGCATAAGACTGATGTGATTGTAAGTTATGCTAGAAGGAGTGCACAGTGTTAAATACCATCAACTCAGCTTAAACCATGCTGCTTTTCTTAGCGGCAGAGGTATTCAAATAGTCATATTTCTCTTTCTTTCTACTCTTGCACTCCATCCCCTTTCTGTTCCCCAAGGCTACTTTGCCGTGTAGCTGCACACACCGTTGTGCTGACACCATGCAGAGGGTGGCATAGCAGTGAGGGTTGCTT